ACTGTATGTATTTTATCAGAGAGCAAAATTACAAAACTAAAATGAAAACGTTATTCCTATTGCACCAAATCACAAGATACATTGTCTAAAAAAGAAAAAGAGATCCAAATTTTGAATCAACTGTATACCAAAACCTATATAGAACATATATAACACTAGGTATAATTCAGGGTTTGTTTGTGCTTAATATGCACATAAACTATATCCTTTTAAATCACATAGATGAGAAGCATTACAATTGGATAAAACATAATTTAACAGAGTTTTATGTTGCAGCAGAGCAGAGAGATATATTGTGTATTGACTCACCTGACTAGAGAGCAGGAGGCTGCAGCAGCCTCAGCGGAGGACTGGTGGCAGCTGTGGTTTCAGTCTCTTCCCTCGCTCGTGCCTCTGACCTTGTTAGGTGGAGTTTCCAGGCAACATAACGCTCTCCTGGGCTGAGAGAAACAGAGATGTACAGTTGGGTGGATGAATCATTGCTGCACAACCTCCTGTGGCTCACTAACAATTGGTCCCGCGATTGTGTGTTTGTTGTTTTATCGTTTCACTCTCTCATGTTTAAAAACTGTGTATTATGTACTGAACGGGCAATTCAAATCAGAGGGGTGTTTGTTAGAGAAGCTCAGATAAGAAGATTTTATAATGAAAAGCCTGGATTGAATTAAAGTCTATAAAAAGCTGAACCAAAATGAAGCTGCATGCTTCCTGTTAACAGAGATTCATCATGATGTTTCAATCACGGAACTCAGGAATCAAACAAGTACAAATCACCTCTCTGACTAGTAAACAGACCTGTAAACATGTCCGTTTTCACCATCTCCACTGACACTGTTGAACTCTATAGCTCTGTGTGGAGGTGAAGCGGCTGGGAGAGCACCTTCACCTCCACACAGAGGATCAGTCAGCACAGGTGGGAGCTGTTGGCTGAGTGATCCTCATGCTTGAAAACGCAGCAGCAGAGCTGCCTCAGGGGAACACACTGGGGAAGAGACTGGGCGAAGCAAGAGGTCCAGCAGAAAGTGCTGGACCCTTTAAGTTGAGTGTTTTATGAACGTTTAAAATACAATTGTTGCTGAGCCCCGAGTGGTTTGACTGGTTCGTGTCCGGCTGTCGTGGTGGGAACCCCGTGGCATGGTCTACTGCCACACTGGGCACCGGTGAGCAGCGGCAGCAAGCGCACAGCCCTCTCCACCTCCATCCAGAAACGCCTCCGTGTCATCTTCCGGGGTCATTCGTTTGAGGGCCACCGCTGGCGGCCGACTGGAGCTGGTCCCTGGCTCGGGCGCCGGGGTGGCCGGACGCTGCATCAGTCCCCGCAGGAGAGCCCGGTCCTCTCGCTGATACGCAGCGAAGTCGGCGAGGGCCTGTGTCTGTTGCTGCTGCAGCGCCGCGGGGCTCTCCTGCATCGCTGCCAGGCGCTGGAGGGCTTGTTCCAAGAGGCCTTGTCCCTCCATGCTCTCCTCTCAGGTCCCTGTTCAGGTGCCACTTGTGGGAATACTAGGCCCACTCCGGGTACACATGGGAGGCGAGAATGGCGTTGTACCCAGCCTACTGCATGAGAGCAGAAGCAGGTTACCAGTGTGCTCTTATTGATGGCCTGATCACCTGATTCTGCACAGCTGCCTGATCACCGGCTGAGCCACTYCTCCCTGTTGTCCAGCAGTTGGCGCCCTAACCACACCCTGCCGTCACACTCTGCTATAATCATGACATGGTTGCGTGAGGATACTGTTAATACTTTTGGCATCAGAGGGGCTGAGATGAACAGGACACCACTGCAAGATAATTAACATGTCAAATACAATCTACGTCTTCTAACAGCAGGGATATTGGTTGTTTAAATGACACAACAGCCTCCATATGGTAAAAAATAAAGTTTTCATACTTTCAGGCGCACAATCCAAGTATTTCTGGGTGTCTGGCTGATTTCTTTAATTTGAATGATGTTTACCAGTCAGATTTAGATCTATAAAGCTGTTAAAGCAAATGATTGATTTGTGGACCCTACAATTGGCTAAAAACATTGACAAAAAATAAATAAATACAAAAAAGTTAGCCTGTTTAACAAATGAGACTTGTTTAAACGTATTGTGTTTGATTCAAAAACATGTATTGCGTTTATATTGAAAAGGCTAATGAGTAACTGAGTAAGCCTTGTTTAACTTCAACATTCTTTATCAAATGGTTAAAGGTCTGTATTTTATATAGCGCTTCTCTAGGTTTGAAGACGATTAATACACCCCATATGTTCACTTTACAGTAAGGGGTTTGATCATGCATCGTGGCTGCTGTTGCCTCCAGCTGACAACAGAGTGTGCTGCTACCCCGGGCATTGAGGACTGTTTGGTTTCGGTTTGCACTTCACCACTTCTGGATTAGGACAGGAAGGAAGAGGGAGTTTAAATTGAGTCAAACAGGAGCATCAGATTCAGTCTCACTTGAAAATGTATTCTTTCCAAACATGACAAATACTGTTGGTCAGACTCAAATGGGCTGAAGACTTTAGTCTTGATAAACAGAGTCTTGGCAGGTTTTGTTGAGATTAGTGCCTTGTTCTGAAATACTTTTGCTCAATTACTGCAATCAAATCCAGTTACTTTATACATCTATACTCCATAAGATCTCAAAGGCAGATATTGTTTTTATGGCACTATTATTTTTTATCTAAAGTAGTTAGTTACTTTACAAATCATTACAAGATTTTTTGCATACAAAACACATTAAGAGTAGGGTCCTTGCATTGTCGTGCTCTGGCCCTAAAAAAATGTAACATGATAACTACAAGGGCATTGACACAATTGTGTGTGCAGTCTGTCTCACACACAAACACGCACATTAGACATGTATCAGAAATGTTCTGATGCTGATGTAATCAGTTTCACACTGAATCTGCAGATCATCTGTCTGCTGTGTCATCCTATTCATATCAGGACCTTTACAGCCACCAATGGTCCTAATTCCCATGACAGAATAAAACTCGCTACGAGGTGCTGCAAGGAATAATGTTGTATGTCATTCAATTTTCTTTGTCAAACTGATTGTGGTAAATAATTCTGTGTTCTCTCAAAACCCTTCTGTTAATATCACCATTCTTCTGAACAAGCAGTCAGTCAGCCTGGCTCCAGTCAGTCCGTCAATAGGTCATCACACACCCATCCTCCACTACACACACATTTGCATGCACCCACATCATTATCATAATGAGTACCGGGTATCAAGGTAGGAACTGCATAGACCATTACCATGTCAATCAATACAGATGAACCATTATGTCATAGATGGCTCATACTGACCAACGATGATCTCACAGCACTTAGAGGCCTTCTCATTCATTTGAATGGGGGAAGTGTTTTGGTATGCAACGGGAGGGTCTCCAGTTTCTCCTCAGGGACTGTACCAAAGTACGTCCGGACAAGCATCTGGTTCTCTAACTTGATGACATTTCTAACACACTGACAGAAAGAGAACAAATATCTCAGAGTGACAAAGCAGAGCCACACACAAAAGACACAAGCAAAGATCTCAAGAGAGTTTGTGTGATAAGAGTCAATGCCAGTGTTGATGTGCTGTAAACATAAACATGTGATCTCTGAAGCGGAGTTAATATGCTACATCCTGCCTCTGCCTTCTGCACCACTGCTCACCTGAATCCTGCAGAGGATTTGTTGCTGATTTGAATACGTCTGAGCAGAGACCCCCTGCTAAGTTGTGCATGTGTGAAACGAATACTCAGGAGAAAGTCTGGACTCAATTCTGCGTAGATCCTCTGCAGGTCATGTCTGAAAACAACTATATAGAGTGAATCACCACACTGGTTCTGGTCCAAGACTGGAAAAAGTCAATATGTATTTATATGCACACTTGTATCCTGAAGATGATTTGCACATGTAAACATCATATCCTGGTTTCAGGGACATGGATTAGACCATATCCAGGTTATCCTGGTTTGGGAAACTTGGATTCACTACATGTAGAACTTTGGTAAAAACCAGGGTAGTGAGGTATGTACACACCTGATCCTGGTATCTGAGCAGTCTTTGTTAGTACAGAACATATAGGGGGCTGACAAATCAAGACACAAAGTCAGATTTTCAGGAACCTGATAGTCATACTATTATGATTATGTATACCGAGATACAATTCTCCATTTTTCGATGTCCTTTTTAATTACATTTATGATTAAAACCAGGATAAGATTGAAATCCAGTATACCAGAATATATGGAAACAGCATCTGCAAATTCTGGTTTTACTTTAAATCTCTTTTATCAAGGAAATTGATTCAACTATTACATTTAAAATTCTCAAAAAGCAAGTCTCTCTGCAACATCATCATTATTTTCTTCACACTTTTTCCTTGTAAAGCTGCAACGCTCTCACCTGAATGTAATAGGATGGTAATGTCTAATTTTTTAATGTGAGTGGTCAGGAAGTTGTGGTTATTCAGAGACTGAGACATAGATTTGTTAAACTTCTTTTGTGCTGTCTCATTAAGTAATCAGTCTTAAAATTATGGTACAAAACCGGTTATAACAATTTAAAAAGGGGAGATAAAACAGAGATCATTAATAGCATTTCATTTGTCTAATAATTCTCTGTGTCTGTCATGTGTAGAAAGGGTACATAAGAGGAGTGACCTTATTATTCCACTTTCTGTTTACAATCGTGTTAGTTTTTATTCCAATTATTTTTGATTTATTTTTTATATCTCCCACATTTATAAGTATTGCATGCTACTTATTATTGCTACTGTCTATTTTTGAATGGCCTCTCGTTGTTGTAGGGATTCTATTATCTTGTCTTATCATATTTTATCTTATCCCTTGAGCACCAGACCCCCAAATGTCTGTGCACGGCCCTGTAGACATAGAACCGTGTGAGGGGACCGTGCGGAAGAGAGGGGGCGCTGCAGCGTCACCTTCCTGCAGAGACGGATCCTCGGACTCCCCGTCCCTCCCGCCCCTCCCGCCCCGGTGACGTCAGTAGCGGGGGGTTGGTAGTGCTTGCTCGGCGCCGCTCGCTCTCCCGCAGTCTTCACTGGGACATCCGACGGAGCTGACGCAGCTTCCCTCCGCGCGGGATTACTTCGACGCTAGTTATTATTTCGGGGGGGATATCATCCTTTTCACTGGTGCTGTGTGAACGATGTTGACTGGTGCAAGAGGCTCTGAGGTGGCGACAGGTGAGACATGTTTAAAACACGGAAACACAAAACCAGCTCCGTTTTGTTGACTTGGCTGTAGCGACACTGGAAGTCCTCCGCCGCGACGGGCGCAGAGAGGGACTATACTTTTGAAAAGTAAGGTTTTAACTCCGTAACTGACTCGGTGTTTGGAACAGCAACACAATTCAACACGTCGTTGTGCTTTTTATTTAACATCGCGTTTTCCCGTTGTTGTTTTTTCTCTCTCACCGGGCTGTTTTTAAACGTGACCTGGTTCCTGACTAAAGCCAGAACAGCAAGGTTTCCTCTCTCCCGGTGGCACCTGCTTCTTTTCCCACCTCTGTGCAGCTACAGGAAACTGTGCAGTCAGGACGAAAGCTCACCAGAAGTCTACAGCATTAGCCTTTTGATTTCGATTGTTTAACCTGATCTCTTTATGCAGAGTTACAACGAAGCCACATGCAGGCGAGGATATAAATCATCATTTATTTCCAATTGAACTGTTTCACTGAAAGTCTAAAGTGCATCCTCAGTTAATGAATTTATGTTGTATAAGACTTGATCTCGTGAGGCTGTGGAGCTGCACTGAGAAGTTAGCGGGTCTTCTGACAGCCCCGTGCTTTGTTTAAAAGAGCTGACTCACGCTTTCCTCCCCCTCTCTTTTTAATCTCCAGGTCCTCAGTGACTGCAGCCGACTGACTGTCCCCTGTCACCCCCCCTCCAGGACCAGCCTTTGAAGTGAGACCTGGAGCGCTCCCCAGCCAAGAAGACTCCTCCCTGTCCCTCCTGCCACCTTCAAATTCTCTGAGGGACAAGGACACACAAAGTCACGGAGAGAAGGACTGAGGAAGACTAAGTGATAGTGGGATTTTAAGGGACTAACCATCAACACACCCTTAGACGGATTATTGCACTCCACAGGACCGTAACATGGGGAACCAGTTAACAGAAATCGCCCCCAGCACCCCATTCCTCCCCAACTTCCAGTCGCTGCATGTGGTGGTGATTGGTTTGGACTCTGCAGGGAAAACCTCCCTCCTCTACAGACTCAAGCTGCAGGAGTTTGTTGAGACGATCCCCACCAAGGGCTTTAACATGGAGCGGATTAAGGTACCCATGGGAAACGCCAAAAGCAACAGCACCACCTTCCAGGTGTGGGACGTTGGCGGACAGGACAAACTGAGGCCCCTCTGGAAGTCGTACACCAGGAGGACTGAGGGGCTGGTATTCGTGGTGGATGCGGTCGAGGCTGAGCGCATGGAGGAGGCCAAAGTGGAGCTCCACAGGATTGCTCGTTCAGCAGAGAACCAGGGGGTGCCCATACTGGTTCTGGCAAACAAACAGGACCTAGATGGAGCCTTGTCGGCTTTAGAGGTAATTATTGTGACATTATTACTTTAATGTTGTGTACAGTAGGTTCCAGCTTCTTTAATCTGAGGCTTCTGGTTAAAAGCTGTTTGTTCAGACAAAATCAATTTGTTCTTGTAGATGACAGATCATTTGAAATTGAACAATTTATTCCATGGAAGGTGACGATTCGTAAACCTTGATACAAACATCCACAACCTTGTTTGGCGATACAACAGAAGCATGATACCACAGCTTTTCAAGATCATGTACAAAGTAATTTTTCGTCAACATTACAAAACATGTCATATCAAATCACTAAATTCCCTTAAAACTTAGGACAAGCTCTATTTATTTGTAAACATTTCACAATGAATCTATTGTGTGACATGAAAGTTTTGGTCCTATTATGATTGAGCGATCACGCCAGGAGATTAATTCGTTTATTCACTACTAGTTTATGTACCTCAGGATAATACCCCTGAGATTTCAGACCTCAGGGGACATTCAAATAAGCAACAGGAACATTTTGGCCTCTTTATCATAGACCTGATTTGGGTCCTAAATAAATATGTATATAAAAAAACACCTAAACACATCCAGGTCACTGTTGTGGAAGTCAACTTTTTTAATCATTGGCATAAAACACATGCCAAACTCAAAGGAGCATGGAATTGTGTTTTAAAATCTTGTGGGAAAACTACAAAACCTGAGTTTTTATGTAGCAGAGAGTCAGCAGCCAGTCCTTCAAACACACAGCTTATTTCTTCAATGGGACAGGGTTGGGAGGATGATTGAAATTAGGTGCTAACAGTCCCCTGTCTCTTGTGTTTCAGGTAGAGAAGGTGCTGGCCCTCCATGAGCTCAGCCCGTCCACACTGCACCACACGCAGGGCTGCTCGGCACTGGATGGTCAGGGTCTGCAGCCTGGCCTCGAGAAACTCTATGAAATGATCCTGAAGAGGAAGAGGATGCTGCGGCACAGCAAGAAGAAGAGATGAGGGAGGAGGTGTGGAGTCACAGTGATGTAGGGGATGGAGGTTTCTTCCTGAGCCTCTGCTTGTCTGAGAAACTGCAGCTTCTGGGGTGAAACCAAGGGATGGCTGGCAGTCCTTCCGAAGAGTTGCATTGTTTCCAACCAATTTCAAACTCTGAAGTCTGCAGCCATTGTGAACACCTTCCTGCATCAGCTTGGACAGACCTGCATCTTTTGGGATTGTTTGATGCTCTCAGGCACTTTTCCCCCTCCTCACCTCCCATCCTGAAACGAGCATGGTGGAGGCACACACAGCTCCAGAGAGAACAACGGAGAGAAATCCAGTGCAATATATGATGAACACTAAGTCCACCATTGAAGGATATTTTTACCACTGTTTATAAAAACTTAGTAGTTTCTGTAGTTCCAACAGAAACCTGCAGGTGGTCTGAGCCTAGCTCCTGTTCCTCCCACCATGTTTCATTGTTACTGTAAATCTTTATGTTGCATGATGTTCACCCGAATAATCTGCTCGGAAATAGTAAGCAACACTTTTGTAGATCAAAAGAAGGCTTGTAATTATTGCGGGTTGGCAACTGCCCAGTGTTCATTTACATGTGCCACCAGAGATATTTACAGACAGACACACTGCGGCTGCTGAATCCAGCCACATGGCTTTTTACATTTGCTTGTCACAGTTCCGGTGTGTTTCAGGGTTTGATGAATGAATGGATGGTTGGTTGGTTGGTTGGTTGGTTTACTTCAATCAAGAATATGTTTTACATTATGTACATATGTTTGTGTAAAATGTTAACAAATGAATAAATTATTGAGCAACTTTTGGCATTATTTTGTGGAAACGTGTATTTTTGTATTAGGTGTCATACTCAGACCTCTGAGACCAAAGAACAAGGCTTAAGAATGTCTGAGATAAGCATTTCGACAACTAGGTAAATTCAAACACCATTTTTTAAAATGAAATTGGAGCCAGCGGCTTGAAAAGGTAAATGGGTAAAAATCATGTTTCTTAATACTTCTGTATCTACTGTATTTCTCCAAACTATCAGTGTAGGTGTAACCCTTGTGAGGGTATGGGGAGCTCACAAATGCTACCAGGTGCAATGATTCATTCAGTGTTGATAGAACATGTCTTTCAAAAAGAACAACACTAGTTTTTTTTGTGCTGAGCACATTATCACTCAGATGATGATGTTGGCATATGATGATGACTGGCATATAATAGTTTTACAGCAAAATGTTTTCGGTTCTGTCCACTTAGTGCCTCTAGCATTCTTAGAGTAACTGTGGCTCAGTCCTTGGGCAAGACAGTGTATGACTGTGTGTGCGATGTGAAGTGTACTGTCAAATACAATCAATTAACCATTAAAAACTACATACATGAGTGACATTTTCACAACCTAAGTGTCACTCAACTCAACACAGAGGACCCGTTGATGGCTGTGCTGCATTCAGAGCTTCACAAGATAAATGCAGATGACATATGGTTACATAACCTGTAGTAAACAGCATGGCTATGGCTCTGACACATATACACACACTAGAGATCCTCATGAAGGAGAACTGCTCTTTCAGATACACCTATTGTCAAATCTTTTTCCAGCAGAGCTCTGCTGGACTGTAGCTTCTGATGGCTGTGAACTCTGTCTGTCAGCTCTACATCTCAGTGGTCAGTCAGGGTTCACTGACACCATCCATGTTAAATAAAAGTATTGATGATGATGATAGTAATAATAAACCATTTAAATAGCACCTTTAAAAACTGAGTGCTTTGACAGAAATGCAAAAGATAAATACAAGATAAATAACAATTGGCAGGAAAGTATGTGACAGGAAGGCCAGACATCAACATTGAGGTTGTCGAAAAACTATGTCATACAAACTTGATCACATGAAAGCAGTAGAAGGATGAAAAACTAATTTGATAAATAAAATTAAAAAAAGACATCACATATAAGCAAGTCTAAAATAATGGGTTTTAAGAAGTGTTTGAAGTCACTGACTCTGCGGGCCTTATCTCCTCAGGTAGGTCGTTCCAAAGCCGAGGGGCCCTGGTGGTGAAGCACGGTCACTTTTAGTTTTCAGCCTCGACTTTGGAACAACCAGCAGTGCTCCACCTGAGGATCTGCGAACAGGAACATAAGGGGTCAACATTTGTGTGACGTTTCTATGCCCTGACATGCTTTAAAGGTAATCAGTAAAATCTAAAAAATCAATCAACCAAGGGTCGGGGTGATGAGATGTAGTCTGTAAAACCCAGTTCAAAGCCTGGCTGCTGCTTTCTGAGATGGTTCAAGGCGGGAGAGTGACTTATGGCTTGTGCCAGAGAGCAGAGAGTTACAGTAGTCAAGTTTAGAGATAACAAGTGATTTGATTATTTTTTCCAAGTCTGGGTGTGAAAGTATGGGTTTGATTTGGAGGAAGTAGGACTTGAAAACATTTTTAATTTGTGCTTCAAAGTTTGGTTTTGTGTGAAACAGCACTCAAAGACTTCTGGCAACAGGCACATTGATCAACCAGGGACCAAGGCCAATAAAAAAGACCCCTTTAACACAGTGTAGTGTAGTTTCTAGCAAATCAATCCTTCACAATAATACACTGTTTAACATCACTGTAGCAAACATGCAATGATCTGCTGGCCAAAACATATACACAATGTCCCCCTGTATGAGGAACTGTGATGGGTGCTGATCAATCGTGGCAACATTTACAGAATCACTTCCTGTTGGCAATTTGTCTCCAAAGTAATAGCACAGTGTTCTTTGTGTTGCTGCGATCCTTTTGACTGAGCAAAACTACAGGGCTCTAATTTCTTAAAAGTTGTGAACTTGGGTCTGACAATTGTGTCTGATCGCCTTACGGATCTCTGATATAGCTGACATGCAGTCTATGAAAGAATAACACCAGTTAAGTAAAACCGAGCAGCCCATTTCAAACAGGCTCTAGTTCTATTCAAATTAGGACAACTGAAGATGTATCAGGGGTTAAAACCTCTCAGAGGCCTCNCAGATGTTTAACTCACCTCTGAAAAAGCCGGCATGGAACATATGCAAAAATAACTACAGTTCAGTAAATATTTCTAACTTATAAGCAACACTTGAAAAGTAATAAAGCAAAGTCAGTTTCATTTTATAAAAAACGTCGACAATAAAATCTTCATTGCATATAAACCAGGTACAATGAACAATTTTCATATCTTCACTCTGGACTATAGATTGTAGCCTATAAAAAGCTCTGCACACAACATCCAGCACACAAACAATGAAAACATGGCAGCATAATGTAGAACTGTTTGAGGAGGACTCACTAATGACATGGAATGATTCTTTTTGAATTTTGAGAATAAAGTCAATATGTCAAGAAGCAAGAATACTTCAAACTAACATGAGTCTATATAACTGACTCTACAAAATACCTTGAGCAGATTAATTGTTGAAATTGTTGTTCGCAACAAGGAGATTCTATCTCGTTTGGCAAATAAACACAGTATATGGTCATTAGGAGTTTGAGGAAATGGTTTTCAGGAGGAGAAACCACACAGTCTTGGAAGAGGTTCGCCACAAACTAAAATAGCTGCCAATGGACGAATACAAAGGATATCTAATCATTTGACTTTATTCTCAAAATGTAGTCGATTCTTACACATTTTATGTCTGACCCAAACCCTTCTCCTACCTTTCTGTCACAATTTTAACAGAAATGCTAAATTTCTAGGTTAATATCTCACTACAACAAAAGATTTATTGCATTGACGTAAGACATCAATTCATTATTGAGGTGTTGCCCTCAATTAGTTGACCTCTCGAGTTTAATTCTTAAAGATACATATCAGTAAAGTGAGTCAGGGAGCTCTGAAGCTTGTGCAGACATGTTGCCCTTGTGTAGCTGTATTCGTTGTCCTGTGTGGATCAAACAGGTTTCATGTCAGTGTCCTCAGGCCAGATTTTCATCATAGGATCTCCCACACCCATCTTCTGTGCCTCTCCTTTTTTACTCTGCCATATAACAATATCATGTGTTCAGACTCATATTACTGAACTGTTTCAGGTGGTTTTGGCCTGCAGAGAGATATAGTTTAACTTTCATGACGTTGCACTTCTCCTTTGTGTTGCTGATAGCAGGGATACATAAATCTGTTTTTGTCATTGGAAACATCAGATTTATTCTCATTTAACATGTTTGTTTTCTCTGCTTTGATGTTGAAGTCAAGTGAACAACTCACAATAGTTTAATTAATGTGCAATTGACAGAGCTTTAAATAATAAATGTCATATATCAATTCCTCACTTGTTCTATTAACCTGTTCTCTATAATGTCGAGTAGCTAATATTCATACCTAAAATATGTTTTTCATCTTCACCCTGGAACTTACAGTGCATACATGTGACACTGCCTGACTTGGGACCACCCACACTTTTGTTAAACTTGATACTAGAAAACCAAATGTGTGTTTTTATTTATATATTTTTGCTAGTTCCAAAGAATTATGTTTTAGGAAATTACTGAATCCTTAAGAATTAGAATTCGTTAAATTCGTTAGTGAAATAAAGATAACAGGAAACTTGAGGAGAGACAATGACAGAGAATTATTTTCATCAGAGGTGCCCAGTTGGACATGAACCAGGGAACCTTTTGTGGTTGGCACCTAGCGCTGTGTGCCATCAGGTCACCCCTGACAAACAAATCTCTACTTATGTGGATAGTTCACCGTAAAATGAAAATTCACTCATTATCTACTCACCACTATGCCCATGAAGGGGTGGGTGAAGTCCACACAACACTTTTCAGAGTTTCAGGGGTAAACAACATTGCAGCCAAATCCAATGCAATTGAAGTAAATGGTGAGAGATTCTTCAAAACTAACAGAAACTAATAGACAAAAACTCCATACTGCTCCTATGGTGTCATCCAAGGGTCTGTAAGCCCCGACATTCAAAATCGACTTGAAACAGTGTAATTTACACCATGTTTTTAGCCATGTCCTGTGATATCATCAGAGTGTGCAACACACTGCACACACTGCAAGGTGCGTGGTAGCACTGCTACTTCCAACAGTCGACATTCAGGCAAAAAAATTGTGTAAATGGTTTTTAGAAAACTGATTATTAAATACTGATCAATGTATCTTAGTAGGACTGAGTCAGGTCCTGAGAGAGAATTGAGACCTTTCCTTAAAGGTACAGTGTGTAGAATTTTGTGATCTCTAGTGTTGAAGTGTCATGTTGCAGCTGAACACCCCTCACCTCACCCTCTCCTTCCAAACATGAAAAAGAACCTGTGGTAGCTTCAGTTGTCATAAAACTCAAAAGGTGTTTAGTTTGTTCAGTCTGGACTAATGTAAAAAACATGGCGGCCTCCGTAGAGAGGGTCCCCTCCATGTAAATATAAAGTATTTAAATATAAAGGGTCTTTTCTGGGGTAAAGAAAACTACAATTCATACAATTTAGATGAAACAAACTAGTGAAAACATCATGAGGATTATTTTACATTAAATATCTGCCAATAGTTCCCTTTCACCTAAATCTTACACACTGGACCTTTAAATGAGACAAGCCAGTGAAAACTGCAAGATTTAAAATGGCATTGGCAAGTGTAGAGCTGAGGTTTGTGTTTGACCCAATTTCAACTTTTTATTTATTTCTGTAGTGTTCTTTTGTATTTCTTTTTTTCTGTCTTTGGTTTCCTCTCTAAATCAGGCCTGGACTGTACATATCGCTGCACAGGGAATGAAGTTGATACTATAAAATAAATACACTTTGACTGCATAACTGGGTTTGTCTTAGTGTTTGTGCCATAGCCACTTGGGCCAACCTTACAGTTAGCTATCAGC